TGTGGTGTCTGCCTGTGGGGGTGGGGGGGGGGGGGGCCTGGGGCTTGTTGTTTCATTCTCCGTCATTGGCTTAAATGTGTTTTTAGGTCGCATGCATTCAGTGTCACTGTGCATGTCTCGAATGACCCGTCACCTAAACCTTCTGAAAGGTGCATGACAGATCAGTGGGTTTTCACAATGTCATCATCCTCCATTCAGCGTCATCTTTTCTTCCTATCCCTCTCTTCTTCACCACCCTTTCATCGCTGAGTGCATCTAGCCAGAGGTCACTCTGCTTCTCCTCCACCTCCTCCACTCTCCACATGACCCCCTGTCATTATCATTATCACTCAAGTCTTTTCTTAGGGTTCCATCTTCCCTGATTCCAGTTTCTTTCTTTTTTTTTTCATTCACTAGCATCTCACAAATCTCACTCGGCTCTTCCTTCCTCTTCTTCTCTCTCCGTCCGTCAAGTTATTGCTCCAAAGTTCATTGCAGTATCTGTTCTGGGACATGCCAACACAGGACTGGATCACAGTGTGGAGGAATGGACGGAGGGACGTGACATGAGTTGTACTTTTACTTTTTGTTCTGAAATCTGACGGATTCACCAACAAATCAAAGCTCCACCAGAACAAAGCTCGAACATACACGTGTTTGTGTTTTCTACCATGTTCTCGACCTCTCTCTACCCCCTCACCTCTCGTCCTCCTCACCCTTTTTTACCCTCGTTCCTCCCCCCTCTGAGCACCTTCTCCTTCTCTCCTCTCTCCATCTCTGCGTCCTTCTCCTTCCTTCCTCCCTCCTCTCCAACTTTCCTCTCCCTCCATTCCCTGCAATCCCTCCTCCTCCTCCTCCATCACACAATCCCCTCCTATCCCAATCCAGCGCACCCTCTCTCTCTCTCTCTCTCTCCCTTTATCTCTCCCTCCCTCTCTCTTCCTCCCCTTCATCTCACCTCCAGCCAGCCTGAGCACCCTCCTCCTCCTCCTCTTGGATCGCACAGCCTGCCTGCTCTCGTCCACTTTCTCTTTTTCACTCTCTCTTCATACCTCTCGCTCTCTCTGCTCTCTCCCGTCTTTTACCTCTCTTTCTGTCTCTCACTCTCTCTCTCTCTCTCTGTCCTTCACTTCCCTTCAGCTGCCAGAAGCTCGCTGGCTCGCCGCTCTTCCTTCAACCACTGAGGTTTCAGAAGCACTCGGGACGAAGACTCTGTCACCGGAGGTAAGTGTCTATGTGTGTGTGTGTGTGTGTGTGTTGCTGATGGTCATTCGCCTCACCTGCATCAGCTGCAGCTTTAGGAGGCAGACGGGATGACGGGCGAAAGGAAGGGGACACGGGAAGGTGTAGTGGAGGGAGCCAGCTGTTCTGCAGTGAATGGGAAAGTGACAGGAGAGTGAAAAAAAGATGTAAAGGATGCAAACAGCGGTAAGACGAGGAGGGTGGTGATGATGACAGTGATGGTGTCTGGGGGGGGGGGGGGGGGGGGGGAGTGAAAGAAAAGCGTGGAAAAAGAACGGCTGTTTAGACGCAGCAGTCACAATCGACCGCAGCTTCAAAAGAGACAAAAAAGAAAAAAGAAAAAAGAGAGTTCAAGAAGACGGGAAGAAAAGCAAGTATGGAAATGAATGAAAACAAACCATGACATGAAAAAATGAACTAGAGAACAGCCGACAGAGAGCGAGAGAAATATTTCAAGCGAAGGAGGAAAAAAAATGAGAATGGGATGCTGATGCCCCCCCCCC